GGTAAACACCATAGATCAGGTAGCTTTGATTTAAGACGAAATTTCTTCAGAGACATGATAGCGGTTCCCCTCTTCTCTCTGTGCGCCACTGGAGAATACCAGGGATCATCTTTGGTGTAATTGCGCTTTTATTAAGTAGTGTCCGCTGAACATCCTTTAATCTTGCTCTAACTCCGTCCAATTCTTAGGAGAAGATGATATCTCGGGCCAGGTGGACTCTCAAATAATAAGCCTTCTTATTCTTCTTCGGTGAAACTTATTTGGTACTAGCTGTTTGAGACATTTGGAAACAAAGAAATGCTAGAGTTTTAGACAAGGTTTTTCTTATGCAAAACACTATGAACTTGCTTTTTTTTTTTCTGAAGAGACGTTTATACGTAACCATTTTCCTCTTTAAAAGGTTGACGTTTCCGTTTCTTTTCTAAAAACACGAAGTAGGAACAGGCTATGGATCAATAGATGCTGCAATTTTGTGGCAAAACCTTTCTGTTTCATCTCAGCCCATCCAAACCAGTCCGAAGCCAACCGAGCGCAAATTAGGACAAATTGAGCCTATTTTAGTACAGACCACTGCCATGCCAAGCCTGTTAGATCCGCCCTTGGTATTAGCAGCTAACTTTGCCTGAAAAAAATTAGCAGCTAGCTAGCTAGCTAGCACCACATGTTTTTGTAAATGCCAAGCTACCAACTGGGGTGTAATTAACCTACTTGGGCTTATTGAACTCCTGTTCTGGATGGTGGATGGAGTGGACAAGCTTAACCATTCAATACCACCACTACCTACTATACCACCACCACCACCACGGCATGACGGAGTACATGGAGTATAGATATATATCGATATTTTGCCTCTTTTGAAGTCCTCGCTGCTGGACCAGTACATTAACTAACAAACAAAATTCCCGTGCAAATTGTTTTCTTTTGACGAAGAGCAGCAGCCCTGCTTTCATTTGTATTAAGGTAGGAGCAACTTGTAGTTTTACTCACCCTCAATTTTTTTTTGTAGTTTTACTACTCCCTCTGTTCAGTTTTATAACGCGTTGTAAACATTGCAGACGGCGTGCAGAACAACTCAATTTTAGAAACGAATTATAAAAATGAACAGAGAGAGTAGTGTATATCATTGCCGTGCATGTGAAGTGCAACACATGCCCTCAAGGACTATATAATTCCGCTAAACGACATGCCGTGCAACTTGATGCATATGACCGATCCAAATTAATGCAACAACGGGGGATCTTTCAA